CTGATTATTTAACTAAATAGAAAATAAATGCATATAATGATGTCCAAACAAACAAACAAAAGTTGAGTTTTAAATCAGAGAAACTTAATTAAAGTTTTTTGCATGTTGCAAATGTAATATTGTATCAGACTGTTGATTACACACTAATTAAAAAGTTTGAAAGATAAATAAGATAATGTGAATTCCGTTGGAACGAAACATGCTTTATTTAGACATTTAGTTAAACATTGAAACGTTGAAGCCCGCATCCAGTGGGAATTACTGATGAAATCGTAGTTTAAATAAATCTCATTAAAGGTAAACAGCATCAGAATCAGCCTTAAATGGATCATCTGATTTTAATTAAACTCTTGTAATATAAGCACCACAATGCATTTTATTGTTCATCTTTGTGTGGTCTAATTTGAAATATATTTCATAACGGGTTGATTATAGTTTTAATTTTTATTTTGGAAAATACTTGCAGTTATAAAGTTTAGTGAAAAAGGTCAAATTATAAGTTCAATTTTGGTTACTATCTTTACTATAGTCAAATATTGTTATCACAGAATTGAAAACATAAGTCTGATCTAATTAACTTTAGATAATGTATAAAAAATTGAAAAGATTAAGTAACTTGCTTTGGTAAGTTAAAAGGCCGAATATAAAAACAAGGCCAAACTTTAAAAAAAAGTCAAATAACTCACATAACTTTTTTCAGTTGTTAGATTTTTTTATTAATAACCAAAGATTCATTTCTGAAACACTTAAGTCTTTCAATATTGTTCAACTTTTAATTATATAACGACAAAACTAATTTACATAAATTTTTACTAGCGAATTTCCCATAATAAGCTATTAGTCATGGTAATACCTAGACCCGGGACCGATTTACTTTTTAGTTTTGATGTCCTCAGGGAAAAAACTATCCGTTCATACTACTTGTAGTATAAATCCCCGATTTCGATGGCATTTGGTGAAAACAGGTAAACCTTTATTGATTCGAACGAGTTCGCGGACCAGCATGATAGTACTAGTGTATCGAGGTTTTATGGGATGAATATTTATTTTTTCCATTCTTGACCGCCGAAACAAATTTGCAATTTCCATCCAAACTATTTCGTAGAGTTTAATAAACGAACAAGTTACTATATTGAAGCGTTATTGTAGGCTTAGCTGATACAAAGAGATAAAACTTAAATTCAAAATGTTATGTTATTCTAAAAGAAAATAAATATACAGTAGTTTGTTTGTTTAGGGATATATTTTAGACGATTTCACCAAATTTGTTTCATACTGAGGTATTAACATTTCAATTAAAAAAATCTTTACTACCTCCCTTGTAGCAGCAAACCTAGGTACTCGTTAAAATTAATGCTAATAAAATAGAAAAAAATCTGAAAATTGTAAGGCATATTTCAGTGAAAATCCAACCAGGTAAATGGAAACTCGGTTAGTCTGCAGGTTTGCTGCAGCTGGGGGTATTTATTATTTTCCAACCCGATAGTGTAAACAAAACACGTACTAGTTTAGCAGACAGCTGTGGTAGTCATCAGTCAAGGGCTCCACACTGCAGTCATTTTTCCACTAGTCATTCGTCCAACTGATCATTTGTTTCAGTTTACTTGTTCCCAACAGACACAGTAGTATTCCCTTGCAGTAAAGTATGTTTCATATACATGTACCATCAAAAATATTAGCAAATTACCCGGCCGCAGCAAACCTGCAGACTAAGCGAATTTCCATTTCACTGAATTGATTTTAAATTAAATATATTTAAATAACATTAGGTTTAACAGGTACCTAGGTTTGCTGCTACAGGGAGGCTAGTAAAGTGTGTTTTTAGTAAAATATTAGTAGCTTAGTATAAAATGAATAAATTTGCCAAGCTTGCTTAAAATATTTCCATAAAGAAGCAAACTAAAAAAATTAACAATATTCTCCAAAAGAATAACATGGGAATTTTAAATTTGCAATTTTTTTAATTTTCTCCTCAACCAATAGCCTAAAAAAACACAGTACAAAAACACTTTGGAATACTAAATTTTTGGGTTTTTTTTAGGCTCTTTAAAATGGTCTAGAGATAAATTGGGAAATTATGTGATTTGAGGGTCAAAAATGAGATAAACAAATTCAACGAATAGTGTTTTTGGCCTCCAGGGACATAAAATTGAAAAAGTATATCGTTCCCGGCTCCAGGTATCACCGTGCTACCTACGGTAATAGCTACTTCACTATAGGGAAATTCGCTAAATTTATCTGAAGATTCAGCATTTACACAAAGAATAAAGCACTGAAATGATTTATAAAGCCATAAAAAAAATTAAAATTTTGTAAATATCATGAGTATGGGTTTTGCAATTTTTTAGTTTATATTTTGTTTCGTTTGACCGTCATACATAAAAAATAATCTTGATTTACAATACGAAGTTCCATGTTAAAACACGAAATATAAATTATTTAATTTGAATCTGCCATATGCTATCACTACAACCAAGTGAAAATCCGTTTAATAGAACCAAACTAAATGCACAGTCATAATCCTTAGTCCTACACACTCAATGAATAGTTATGAATTACAACAATGAATATGTTACATCGTTAAGTTTGGATGGTTTGAAAATCTACCAATAACACGTGTTTAAATATTCTGTGATTTCCTTGGCTTTCCAATTCACAAGGTTTAATAATACTCTTTTGTTGCGTTTTCTGAACAACATTCTTTTCGTCCTTTTTTGTGAGGGAAGCCTTAAACGGAAGTGATTCCTTTTGTAGCAAGGTTCTGTTATATTTGGAAATAATATACAAAATACTATTCTGAGTAAGAAACCCCATATTATACATTCGTTACATCATTGTTAACCTGCCTATTGTAGAAAATACTTACATAAATTAGCATTTATTTTTAATTATTTGAATACTTTAGTACACCTTGTACTCATTAGTACTAAATGTCGTCCAGTGGTCGAAACCTCGACCAAAAATAATGTAATGTACAGACTTAATTTATTCTTTTAGTACAGAAAATATCCTACAGCTGACTTTTAAATAAATTGTATTACTCCAGTAATCGAAAACTCGATCGAAAATAATTATGTAATAGTATTCGTAATACAGACTTCTCTATTTTCAACCCACGCTATAAATAAAACATGTGATTGAAATTTCTTCAATTTTTTTTATTTTCTGTTTATGTTTCGTTATTTTTTCGTCATCAGCATGGGAACCCACAAGTTTTATTAATTAGAGATTCCTAGAATTAAATTAAATAATAAATAAAGTAAAATTAAACACAACCAATGTTAGTTTTATCATTGACTAATATACATAACTACTGTAGGTATATATAGTCAATGGTTTCATGAAAAATAATAGGGGACAATAATTAGACAAAATTATTAAATATTTAAAGCATATTATTCGTAGACGCTTGAATTTATCATTATTAATTTCACCAGTGTATTATCACCTGAAAGGACTTCGACATCTAGTCATAGTATAGTAAAACAATCAAATTAGTAGTTGATAAGCTGGACTGTAGTTTACTGATAAGAGGGTTACATGTTGGAACATGATGCCCGCCCCTATATGTAGCACATTAGCTGTGATAATAGTTGTTTGAATAGATACAGAAGCCAATTTGTCATCAGCTGATGTACCGATTGGTTTTTAACGTAATTCAAGCTACAAGTACCGTATGACACTTAACGACAAAACAAGCTCATATGTTGGCATCCCTGTTTCTTTACGTCATTGCCAATCAGCTGATATGCATTGTTGCACAGTTACCAATGAGTTTTAGTGTTATTTAGAATTTATTGTGGACAAGTCTCAACATGGGGTTTTCGCAAGCTGAAAGAGTGTGTACTGTATAGTATAAGTAAAAAAATATTGGTTTTATGCCAAGATAGGTTGGAAATTAAATTTCCACGTTTGATTCCAGTGCCTAAAAACCAAACTCAACCATATAATTGTCAACAATTTAGAAAATCAGATCTACGGAAACAAAAATAAATACAAATAGACGTACACAATACAGTGGTAAGCATGTAGTCATTTAGGTACACCTGCATGGTTTGTAAATGATTTCTTTTCATTTTTGTCTCGAGCTTTTTATTAGCAATTTGTTTATTTGCTTGATTTTTGCAGGTTTTTATTTTGAGTATGACGATCCTAACCTATCGTACTTATTGTATTTAATGGTCAATAAAACCTATACATACTTTCAGTTCACGACACATCACGTTGAGTCTTATCTTTTTATATCTGTATATTTAATTCCGTAAGCGAATCGGTCTCCACGAAACATCTCGAGCAAGGAAAAATGTAGCATGACTTTTGAGGATTCATTTTAAAGCTTAAGGCCCAAGGACTTTCTAATGGAAGTACTGCTACAGTGTTTCTATAAGCTGTTTTAATTATACCAGGTGATGTAAACATTGGGTATTTGTTTGTTTATTGATTTTAGTGTTCTGTTTTTAGGTTAGAATGGTAGCCTACCTAATGAAGTTGAAATGTTTCGTGTTTAGGGCAAGACTGGTACTACGAAGAAGAGTATTTAGGAATAGTGCACAGCATCATAGGGAATGGTTCAGGCCAAATCACAACGGAGTAAAGGGCAGCAATTGCTGCTATGGTCCCCTAGTTTACAATGCCTCAGACACTCTTTGCGTGGATTTTACCCATAGTTGACTGTGATAGTGATACATTAATTACAAATCAATTAAGTCAAAATAGTTTAAGGCTGAAAATGAATATCACAAGCCCTGCTGACGCTCATACTAGCTTCAAATTAAAAACTAACATCTCAAGGTATTTAACAACAATGCACCCAAATGTGACGAACTCTTTCGCATTTCACCCACAGTTGACCTGTTGTCTGGTGAGGCGGAACGGCGGAACACCGTACCTGGTACCAGGTAGACGAGGTGCAGCGGAAAACCTGTTGCTGGTCGAGGAGGGGGAGTAGTGGGAGGGGGAGAGAGATCCTGCCGCGCCGCGACCAGTGCGCTTCCAACCTTGCAGAAGGAAGGAACTTTCGCATCGTCTCTAACATAACGGAACTTGTGACAGTGTTAGTGTATAGTGTGAAGTGCAACATGTACTGAGTGTCACGTGCAATGGTGGGGTTGTGGATTTTCGCCGTAGGATTGGCGGTGTCTTCCGGTGTGATCGCTAAAAGTCAAGGTAAGGGTAGTTTACAGGGTGTGTAGTAATAGGTGGTCTAGTATAGTAGAACTAGTGGCGTGCCTTCAGAATGAACAGGTGGCAGGATTAGATAGTTATTAAGTTGGCTCCATGGAGTATCATGTCTTGGAATCCGAATTACTTTTGGGGTCAGTTTGTAAATAATGTTACGTAATAAGTTCTAAGAAGAGTGAATATTGCAAAGTACACAACGATTTAAAATTTTACAAGCCTACTCGAATCATCTATTCAAAATATTTTTCGATATCACACAATCCCTAATTTGGGTAAAAGAGTTAAAGGAGGTAGAAGTTTACTATTGTACAGTATTTATAATCAGGGCATTTCGTTTCAAATAATTGTGAAATTGATTTAAAAACTAACAAAATATCGCATTATTAACCAACGAATTGGAATTATTAAGAAATTAATAGTAAATATTGCGAGGTTTTTAAATGTTTTAAAAGTTTATGAGCTTAGGAAGTGATTCGAAATTTAAATGTTAACTTTATGTTTCTTTTCTTGGACTAAGTTTCGTGTCATGCTTATTTCGTAATAAATCATAAACAAGTTTGATTATATAATAGGCCTAGCAAAGGATATCACATTGTGGGACATCCGATTGTGATGGTAGGTGGGACATAGTTTTTTTTTAATTATTTGACCAAGGGATTCAAGGAATTTAGATATAGGCTAACCATTATTTCGTTGTAAATCGTAGAAAAAAATATCTGATAACGTTTAGCATAGAAGCTGCATTTCAAAAATAGTGTTAAAAATATAACACACATTTATTCAAGCTTAAGCCACTAAACTGTTTAATTTATTACGGAAAGATTCGTAGTTCTTAATAAAATACAAAATAGTTTAGTAAAATAGAGTTTTACCTATTTTTCGATGTCTCAAGTAATTTTTGGATTCTTCGTTTGCAGCACCTCCTCATTTCTAAAATGCAATCAGTTGAACTAGGCCTACCAATGTGCTTTTCCAAAGTATGTTTGCAAATGCAGGCCATGACTTAAGTTACTTAGGACTATATTATATAACCGCATTTATTTTTATATTGTGAATCACTAGTAACTGTTTACTACCTATTCCTGTCTGAACTGGCTTTTACGTAGGCCTAATGTTTTAGTTCTAAGTTAATGGAACTTTTGAGTGAGAGGTTGTTTACTTAAGATAACTCCGCCTTTTGAATAACAACCAATAGTAAGTTTAGTATCAGAGTAACGTAGTATTATCAATTAGTACGGTAGGCCTACTTAACTCAGTCATCATTATCGCTAGGCTTATTGCAATTCATTGATTTTTCTTCGATTATAGTACGACAAAGCTACAGTATTTCATATCGCGCTTATTATCAATTTAATGTCACAATTATTGTCTGTTTAGCGTTGAGTGTTCTCTATACTTAGAAATAAGACAAATAACACGTTTATAGAATGTGGTAATCATACATATTTCATTATTTTTATTGTTTTAAAATGTATTTTTACAGATGAAGCCAATAAATTAAATGTTCGCACAGCCAATAACTTTCTCATGGCTTATTGGGGGATTTGTTACAATCTTCCAACTTAATTGAAGAGTTTTCGTTCAGTTAATTTTAACAATTTCAATTGATTTTTCCGAAAACATAGTTACATGCTAGGTGATAGCGAAGTATGAGAAAATAATTGGAGCAAGTGGTTCAAAATTGCACACTATTTATCTTAAAAATGGTACTATATTGGGGTTAGTTTAAATCTTAAAGTGGTTAAGTTTTGTTAAGTTGGTAGAAACAACTCAAACAAGTAGTGATGCCAACCCCAGAGATATGTGTTAATCCGCGAAACAAATTCGTTCCTATGGTTTAACGAACCTTATCAAACAAAATCTCTCGAATATCACAAATCTAGGGTTTTCTTTCTGTTATCTTTATGTTTCTTAGACTACGGAAGCCAATAGGCAAATCGAACTACGCTTATCCTAACGAAGAAGCATTGAGTTTACCTTTCTTAGCTAAAGCTTAGATAAAACATACCCCCTTAACTGAAACATTGTTGTTGGATTAAAGGTTGCAGAAAAAGCTGGAAATTTAAAGTTACAATATCATTCGTATTTGAGAAAAAGTAGATTGTTGTATTTTGCTTGTTTGTGCGTATTTTTATCAAATTTGGAATTTTTAAACATTTATTCCGTAATATTAAGACCGTGTTAAAAAAAAAAAACAAAAAAAAAACACACACACACTTTCCTTCCCTTTATCAGCAACTCTAAGTACTCGTTAAACCTTATGTTATTTAAATAGGTAATAAATCTGACAAGTTTAAATACGTATTTTAGTGAAAATCCTAACATACAAATGGAAATTCGCTTAGTCTGCAGGTTTGCTGTGGAGGGGGTAACCTATTTTGTTTCAGGTAAAAACGATGGTTTAGTTTGTTCGTTGTTAAGTATAACCTGATACACAGTTTGATGTTTGTTCAAAAAATTTATTAGGCTAGGTACTAAGTACATTGACTATTTACATGCATTGATTATACAATTGAACACATATTTTTTTTTGTAGTTGGTTTGTGTTCTCGTATGCATAGTCGAAGTTGGTGCTATCACAGACGCTATTTTGGGTAGTAAATACAGGGTGGTCCAAAAAACGGACACATTTTAACATAATTTTTTTACAAAATTCTAACTTTAAGGTAAAATTTATGTACAGATAGAAAAACTCAAAAGGTTTTAGGTGATACTGTATTTAATAAATCTCAATATGGCCACCAATTAAATTTAGCATATCGCATACCTTTCCTGTATTTCTCGGGGATGGAATCAAAATTGCATGTCTAACTCCAGCATAGCCTTAAACAGTGGTCGTATTCAGATTTATTTATTATCACTAACAACTTTTAGAGTTTTTTCGTACAAAAATGTTACCATGCAGTTAAATTTTTTTAAATAAAACTGTATGAATGTGTCAGTTCTTTTTGGACCACCCTGTAAGTATATTCACAGACCTATGATCAAACGTAAAGCTCACACGTTTTCTTTACCTTTCACAAGAGGAAAGTAGTGTAAAACATTTTCTTCGCCCTTCGATATATTTATAGGAAAGTAGTGCAGCAACAGCAGTCTACTATTGCTACGCTGAAGCAGCTCTTGCTCACATTAAACACAGAGTAATTACAAGTTTTATTGCTCACCGAGGAACAATTTGCTACAAATCATGTACAGAAATTTACTTTTATCGTATGCAAAACGCTAATTGAATTCGATTGTGATCTGTTTCGAATAATCCACCGAATGCTGAGATAATGAAGAGGACCTGATTAAAAATAGATACGCGATCTTGTTTTGGGGGATTGAATTTCATTGTCGACTCGGGGGTTGAAGCTAAACAACGGATATCCATTTGGTATTCAGTTTGTTACATTTTTTGTCAGTTTTATTGGTTATGTGATTGCAATAAAGGGGTTTTATTAATTGTCAAAAAAAAAAATAAAACCTCGCAGATGATAAAAAATATTTTAAAAGTGTTATGTGTTGAAAATTTTTAATTTATCTTTTTACACCTCCCTTGGGGGCTATTTATCTAATTTCTACTGAAGCTGAGTTTTTTCTGTTTAACAATAATCTCAAAATTACTAATAACTACTGTGATGTGTCATTAGTTATATGTAATCAATTTAAGCTTGTGTTGATTTGATTAATTCCAATTTAATGAAGTTTTAACTTATTATGGCAGGCATTTCCGGTCTCCTCGATTTTAGCCTACATTCATGTTTAAACGGTTTACACGCATGATGATGATTTTTAAAATTTACAAAATAAATATTGAAACTGCTGTAATTTGTGAAGAAGCTACATTTTATGTACATTGTTGAAGTTTTTGACTTTGCAACATCAAAATAATTCTCTATAACACGTTCAAAGCCTGAAGCACTAATTTTCCCCCATTTGACCCCTATAATCAATTTTCTATGAAAACCTGCCCAATATCACTCAAAGTCCAAATATTGTATTGACACTAAGATACAACATTAATTGCTTCTGAGGTCGACTTGGCAATCACTCCTGTAGCTTTGGTTCAATGATCTTCAACTCTCCGGGCTTGAGTCAGGTAATTGCGTCAAGACAGCCAAAGGACTGATCTTAATTAAGTCCTTCAGATGATCTTTACTTTGAAACCACTTTCCTGCCTTAATTGCTTATCGTCAACTTATATTTTGACTCCCATCTTAGCAGTTTGATTACAAAAGTTGAGTCAGCTTTCTATCTTCTTTGTATTGGAAAATTACTTGGTTCACAGTTTGAGTCAAGGGACATGTTCCAATCTTTTGAAATCGTTCTCTATGTGATACGCATTTTCAGGTGCGGTCATTTGATTTGAAAATTCTTTTCTTTTTCGTCCTAGAACGCTAGGCACAAACCCAAGATGGGTTTTCATATTACTTCAGGCTAGACATTGGGGTTGCGACATTGTAAAAATCACTTTGGGCTTGGAACCCGTGACCTCAGGAATTGAAGTCCCGCGCTATACCGCCATAGTCCAGCTTGCTCCCCGATTTGTAAAATACTGTCATGCTACTAAATTTTAAAACCGATAAAAATCGATAAATTGTATTTATAAATGTTGTCAACCTAAGACTAAAATATTAAAAAATCTCGTACAACAGCAAATAAAACCATTTTGATTTCTGTTTTTCATTAACTAGAACGAACACTTAAGTTTTTTAGGGACAACAGTAATTTTTCAACACGGAGAATGTGTAATTTTAACACTGGACTCGTGTAAACGAACGTCCTTGACAACGTTTCGGGCTGATACTCATCGTCGTCATCAGCTCACATCAAAGCTTCACATCATGACCGCTGTAGAGGTACTATCAAAATATTCAGTGCTGGATTTTATTTTCTTTTATTTTAGGCGCAATTTCGAAATAAAATGTTCAATGTAAAACTACGGTATACATATTTTGGCGGGGAGCTGATCTAGTGGTAGAGCGCATGGCTTCCGTCTCCGA